ACGCACGCCACGTAGCCTCCTCCATCCTGGGAAAAACAGCCCCTTTTATACAACTTCAAAAGCTGTGGTAATCTCGTCCTGTGGATAAAGTACAGCCAGTCTTTTAAGAGAAGTTCGAAAGTTTTGTAATGTCTAAGAGCAATGACCACTGTTTCGGACCATTCACCTGTGATGACTTTTTTTTGGACCTTCGACCTTTTTTTCTTTTCTTTAATTTAGTTCTGAGAGCATATACAACTACTACTGTGATGTGGTAAATATCAACGATTTACTAATGTATGAAGCGTAAATTCAATCTGAAATTTGTGACAAAAGTCCTAAATTGAACATAAAAATATGATTCGTCCAAGATATCTTATCTCACAATATAAGATATATATATATATATATATATATATATATATATATATGAATGAAAACTCACACCCCAGAAGTGACTCGAACCCATACTCCCAGAAGCAACTCAACTGGTAACTACAGGGCGCCTTAATCCGCTTGACCATCACGGCCGTCAAAAGGAAGTGATAGCCGAGGCTATTTGAGCCACTTCCCCGACGGCAACTCGGATGGTAATCTTGGGCATAGCATTTCACCAAATCACCTCATTCTTTGGGGCACACGTGAGGAACACAAATGCGAACAAGCCTGAATGGTCCCCAGGACTATATGCGAATGAAAACTCACACCCCAGAAGTGACTCGAACCCATACTCCCAGAAGCAACTCAACTGGTAACTACAGGGCGCCTTAATCCGCTTGACCATCACGGCCGTCAAAAGGAAGTGATAGCCGAGGCTATTTGAGCCACTTCCCCGACGGCAACTCGGATGGTAATCTTGGGCATAGCATTTCACCAAATCACCTCATTCTTTGGGGCACACGTGAGGAACACAAATGCGAACAAGCCTGAATGGTCCCCAGGACTATATGCGAATGAAAACTCACACCCCAGAAGTGACTCGAACCCATACTCCCAGAAGCAACTCAACTGGTAACTACAGGGCGCCTTAATCCGCTTGACCATCACGGCCGTCAAAAGGAAGTGATAGCCGAGGCTATTTGAGCCACTTCCCCGACGGCAACTCGGATGGTAATCTTGGGCATAGCATTTCACCAAATCACCTCATTCTTTGGGGCACACGTGAGGAACACAAATGCGAACAAGCCTGAATGGTCCCCAGGACTATATGCGAATGAAAACTCACACCCCAGAAGTGACTCGAACCCATACTCCCAGAAGCAACTCAACTGGTAACTACAGGGCGCCTTAATCCGCTTGACCATCACGGCCGTCAAAAGGAAGTGATAGCCGAGGCTATTTGGTGAAATGCTATGCCCAAGATTACCATCCGAGTTGCCGTCGGGGAAGTGGCTCAAATAGCCTCGGCTATCACTTCCTTTTGACGGCCGTGATGGTCAAGCGGATTAAGGCGCCCTGTAGTTACCAGTTGAGTTGCTTCTGGGAGTATGGGTTCGAGTCACTTCTGGGGTGTGAGTTTTCATTCGCATATAGTCCTGGGGACCATTCAGGCTTGTTCGCATTTGTGTTCCTCACGTGTGCCCCAAAGAATGAGGTGATTTGGTGAAATGCTATGCCCAAGATTACCATCCGAGTTGCCGTCGGGGAAGTGGCTCAAATAGCCTCGGCTATCACTTCCTTTTGACGGCCGTGATGGTCAAGCGGATTAAGGCGCCCTGTAGTTACCAGTTGAGTTGCTTCTGGGAGTATGGGTTCGAGTCACTTCTGGGGTGTGAGTTTTCATTCGCATATAGTCCTGGGGACCATTCAGGCTTGTTCGCATTTGTGTTCCTCACGTGTGCCCCAAAGAATGAGGTGATTTGGTGAAATGCTATGCCCAAGATTACCATCCGAGTTGCCGTCGGGGAAGTGGCTCAAATAGCCTCGGCTATCACTTCCTTTTGACGGCCGTGATGGTCAAGCGGATTAAGGCGCCCTGTAGTTACCAGTTGAGTTGCTTCTGGGAGTATGGGTTCGAGTCACTTCTGGGGTGTGAGTTTTCATTCGCATATAGTCCTGGGGACCATTCAGGCTTGTTCGCATTTGTGTTCCTCACGTGTGCCCCAAAGAATGAGGTGATTTGGTGAAATGCTATGCCCAAGATTACCATCCGAGTTGCCGTCGGGGAAGTGGCTCAAATAGCCTCGGCTATCACTTCCTTTTGACGGCCGTGATGGTCAAGCGGATTAAGGCGCCCTGTAGTTACCAGTTGAGTTGCTTCTGGGAGTATGGGTTCGAGTCACTTCTGGGGTGTGAGTTTTCATTCGCATATAGTCCTGGGGACCATTCAGGCTTGTTCGCATATATATATATATATATATATATATATATATATATATATATATATATATATATATATATATATATATATATATATATATATCAATATGTTAATATATTGCACGCACAATATAATGCAAACCACAATATCCTGCTTAATAACATTTAATTCAAGTGAATCATCGAAGAATCGAACGCAAGTCTCAAAATTAGGAGACCATCGACCTACCAACCAGATCATGAATACTCATAATAGAAGAATTTCAAGAGTGCCTAACTGGCACCCAACAAAGATTTTATACCATTTGGCCCTTTTCGCCCTCCATTCTTGTCATATAAAATGCAAGACACAATAACTTTGGTAATAACGGGACATTCACATGGACCATCCGGGATTCGAACCACGGAAAATTCTCTCAATAGTAGGGACAAAGACCTGAGCCAATTTTCACTTCCCTACGTCATCATACTCTTTTAAGTAAACCTATAGCTCAACCCGACTCACCCCAACATTAAATAACCTAACCGAAATAAGAAATAAAATGTTCTGTTTATAAATAGTGAACACAAGGTGCCCCCTGTTACCTAGCAGTAAAATAGGTACCTGGGTGTTAGTCAGCTGTCACGGGCTACTTCCTGGGGGGTGGAGGCCTGGTCAAGGACCGGGCCGCGGGGACACTAAAAAGCCCCGAAATCATCTCAAGATAACCTCAAGAAGAGAAGGTGTGACGTTTATATTAATCGTCGTTTTTTACTAGTCTTGATCAGTGAACACTTGAGAAGTTTTCACCCTCCAAAACAATTATGTGGGCCCGGGGACCACCCCATCTAGTTTTGCCACTGTAAAAAATGCAAGTGCTTTGCCTAACTATTAAGGTACGAACGCACCGCACTTAATCTACCCAGGCCACTGCACAGAAAACGTCATTACATACGGTGCTTTAAATTGATCTAATAAGTCTCACTTTTAATGGATTGGTCGTTTCCGTAAAAAAAAAAAAAATGCAACGTATTAGGACAAAATAAACAGCAAAGTTATGTAGTGGACCGCGTCCTTGTGTTATAACTTGGTCATTGTCAAGTATTTTAATGAATCATTAACAACCAATTTCCAGCAATTGTTATTTTGTATTGCAGAATACATATGACTTTAATTATGCGTATTTGTAAATATGGCAATGATGTTTTAAAGTCTATTAGAATACTGAAACTCCCCAGTAATGATGTTTGTCTAGTTTGATCAGCTAGGATTTTTATTTATTTATTGACACGTTGAAAACAAGTATTATGTAACAAATAATTAATTGCCACTATTTAGGTTATAAAATATATTTTGTTTGGAACTAAACACTTTTAACTATAAAAATAAACAAATACGAATGAAATATAGCCTACTGTTATTTTATGAATCCAAATTTTCCTCAAAATTATTCATTTCTACATCCACCTCAGGTTCCCACCTTCACCACTCTCAGGTGAAACACCTGAGTGTGTTTCACCACAACCACCATTCTCTGGTTCTCATCTCCTTTGGACACCCTCTGGTCTCCACCTTCACCCTCAGGTTCCCAAGCATCTCCTACACCCTCTGGTACCATCATCACCCTCTACCATCCCCAGGTCACCACTACTTCCACCACCCTCAGGTCCCCATCAGATCACCTCCACCCCCAGGATCACATCGACACCTCTACCCTCAGGTCTCCACCCTCAGGTCCCCACCATCACCCCCAGCAGGACCCCAGCTACTCAAGGCCTCTCTGTCCTTTATCAAGACGTTATCAGGTCCCCAGTACTAATGAAGAGGTTCCTACCTGTGACAGGTCTATCGACTGCTTGGTCAAGCAATAAATCTCGCAATATATTTGGCCATTGAACTGGAATTCCTGGGATTGGACAAATGATTTATTATCTACGTAATCATACTATTTTTAGTTTACTTTATTTGCTTTGAAAGCTTTTTCCGTGGAGGGAAGCTTACGGCTTAAAGGCTTTTTAGACTTCTCTGCTACCTAATTCGTCAAGATTTCTTCTTAACTAAAGTTTTTGTTTTATATCCCTGCCAAGGGCGCCTGACAGCTGAGTGTGCAGCGCTTCGGATTCGTAGTCCTGAGGTTCCGGGTTCGATCCCCGATGGAGGCAGAAACAAATGGGCAAAATGTTTCTTTCACTTGATGCCCCTGTTACCTAGCAGTAAATAGGTACCTGGGAGTTAGACAGCTGCTACGGGCTGCTTCCTGAGGGGGAGGGGTAACAAATATGAGGCCTGGTCGAGGACCGGGCCGCGGGGACGCTAAGCCCCGAAATCATCTCAAGATAAGATAGGGCAAGTTTTCTAAATCCATAAAAGTTACTGTAATCCTAAGCATCAAAATCAAAGCGGAAACTTACGGGGACCACTTAGTCCCTGAAATACACTTAGTGACAACGCAATCCAAAATATATCGGACAGCTTACCAAAGCATCGGACAGCTTACCAAAGCATCGGGCAGCTGTCCAAGGCATAAGACAGCTAACCAATGCATCGGAAAATTAGCATCGAAACGTTTTTAAAGCTAATTTACAACAGTGACTTTGTTGTTGTCGTGTAAGGGGGCCCCCTCAGCCCCCTACACGACAGGGTTGCCGGGGGGAACTTGGCTAAGTGGACGGACTTGGGGGCCCTGAGTCCCCAACACCGCCAGGCCAGTCAGTCTCACACCCACGGTCAACGGGAGAGGACGCTACTGCGCTCTCTATGGCCTCGTTCAGTGGCTCTCCACCCAGCTTGAGGGAATTTTTATAAACCGGGATTGATTCCTTTGTGAAAATTGTGTAACGACGGGCTTATATGTATACGTGTGTGACTATCTACTAACGTTCGTGTAATTGAGGAACTTTTTTTTTAACGAGACGTTTTACTAACTTTGCAAAGTTTGACAATGCAGCTTGTAAAGTTATGAACGAAAACAACATAAATGGTGTGAAATTAAATATTACAAAACAAAAAGTTCTTACTTGAAATTGGACAGAATAACAAGCAAAGTTTTCATTCAGCTACCGACGTAGAATTTCAAGGTGAAAACAATTAACAATCGGTGGAGAGAGACGTCAGGATCGAGCCTATGGCATCCTAGCGTGTGTCAAGCGCCTAGTTGAGCCCCAGTTGAGCCTCAGTTGAGCCAACTTGGGCCCCAGAAGACAAATGGGAAGTCTCCCGGAGTTGTGCCACACACGCGAACATCTCAAACGGCCGTGAGGATTACAAGGGGGTTCGTGTCGTGGTTGGTTCTACAATATATAAAAGTTTATGGCCAGCTAGAAACGTTCAATAGGCCTAGGAGCATGTGACCTTTGTAAATCTGAGTGCAAATTTGGGAAAGCAAACATTCAAGACCGTGGACGGTATAATATACCAGCAAATCTATGAATGTGGGATTTTGTGATCCCTGCGACACGTTCCCAAGTCGTGAGTGCCTCAAGAGAAACTCTCAAGTGTGAGGGAGAAACTCTCAAGTGTGAGGGGGTGTAAGGGAGATCTTACAAGCATCTGACGAGGGTGTCTACCTTCTGGAGGCTCTTGGAGAGGTGTGAGTGCCTCACAGGATGCCTGTAATAGTGGTATGATACTCTCGCTGCCTCCTGACACAGCCCTGGAGAATTATGTCCACGTAAGTCTCCTCACTGTTTTTATCTTGATAAAGTTATTATTTATTCAACGAGGCAGTAATTTTTTTTATATATTAGGGCTATTCTAGTTTGGTGTTAGGCTTAAGGCCTATCAACCGTAGGAGTTATTAATTATGGCCACCACAATAGCTTACTGACCACCCAATTTACCACCACCACCACCCAGTTCCCACAGGTACTATATATGTTCATACTAGCTTAGTTCTTTCTTGCACATACTAAACCAACAACTCTCTCACTTTAGTAAACATAGTCCAGTTGTTTTTAAAAAAACTGATGTTTTTTTATATTTAAACCATTCACACATATATATATATATATATATATATATATATATATATATATATATATATATATATATATATATATTGTGAATTATTATTATATATTTAAACCATATTTAAACTATTATATTTATTTTTTATATTTAAACCATTCAGATGTATTTATTTAATTGTTAAATACTCACTAGAAACAGGATATATTAAGAATATCGTTGGGGCCTAGCTTCCAAAATTCATAATTTGTAAAAGAAAATATATTAGGTCTATATTTTTATATATATATACCTAAAAGGGGTACCACCTCTTGTGCAAGTGTAGGTACCCATAGTCTCGGAGAAGAAAATAAAGAGTATTCAGAGAAGACCTTGTGGATCCTCACTGAACACTTTAGGTCTATAAGTATTTATTCTGAGGGGGTGGGGGAGGAGGAGGGGGATAGCGATGTCTTAGAATGATGAGTAAGATTAATGATAGCATCCCATCGTGAATTCTATCAAAGGCATTTCATTCACTTGGGTTATAGGAGCCTCGACCCTCAAAAGGCATCCTTGATCCTATCCGATATACAGGTCGGGCCTTATTTTGATGGATTTCCAATTGAACATATGACACTTTAAGTGGACATTGATAAAACACTCGAAACTATCCTTTTCTTAACCTTCACATTTGACTTGAAGGATACTGAATCATTTAGGTTGAACAAAGTTAACTGAAAGCTATTTTTATGAGGAGTAAAGAAAATGATGTATTACAAGTGAAGGGATAAATTTATAAATGGGAAGGTATGAAATCAGGCGGTATTCCCCTTCCTGTCAAGTGTTTAATTACCTAAGTGATTACACTTAATTAAACTTACATAAGTGTGTGTGTGTGTGTGTTTGGTAGCTAAGTTAAGTTTCCACTCTTGCAGGAAGCTGCGAGTGTTTTCTTTTTTTTTTCTGTTTTCTTATTTTTAAACGGTGAAGGAGAAATCCGAAACACCAACATCTTGCCAATGTATTATTTTTTTATTTAAAGAAAACCATATATTTAAATGGGACATAAAACTATAAGATGTTCATATACACATTCATTAGTACAGAAATCACACTTTAATATCATGCAGACAGAAAGAGGGAGCCTAAAATTAGTTTATATAGGCGGGATTGCCTATAAATTTATGCCTAACATAGGCATAAATTAAAACTTTCAAACCAGTGTATTATAGTCTTATTCGGCCTCACGTTGATACATAACTACCTGTGGGCTTTCACCAATAGAGCTAATATAAAATATCTCGCAAGAAACCAAAAAGAAAACCTCTTTTTGGAGACGAAGAAACATAAATTTGTCTACTCAGTGCTACTCAATCTTCCATGACATCTCTATCGTCTCAGTTTCGTTTTGGGTATACTTACAAGTGTTGCAACCCGGGCCAGAATTCATTAAGCATTTACGTGTTCACGTAAGGAAACCTGTGTATCTTAACTACACCAAGGCGATTTAGACCGTATTTATTCAATAGTACGAGCTTGGGGAAACGCTGCGAGGTCGTTTTCGTCCCAAAGATATTATTATAGACAGCCTCGTTGGACATCTGAGTTATGAGCTGTTTAACATATGCACACTAACCCACTCTGAGGAAAGGTGTACAGGTTTCGTAAATTTGTACGTAAGCTTGATGACTCCTGAAGAGACAATCTTCAGCATTAATCACATTACTACTCTCGTCTCATCAACACCTTGATCTATTTGCCTATTTTAGTGCCACATTCAAAGATCACTTGGCAACGATCGAATCTCCTCAATACTGCCCAAACGTTGCTTCAATCGGTACACTATCCTCATAATATAGACATGATGTATGAATGTGACGGTAAATTTTTATTTATTACATGTCTCCAACATACAAGCTTAATTTATATGCTTGTATTTCTTTGAACTGTATAACTATAAGATTTATTTTCCATATTTATTTTTAGTAACATGGTAATTATGGTGTATGGGTACGTTTTATATATTAAATGTTTTAAGAAATTCAGGATTCTTTCTAAATAGATCAAGTAGCTAACAGTCACTACTGTTTTTAGGCGTAGTTTTAAAGTAGCAGTGATCAGCTAGTTGTGTTAGATGCTGTTTAGCTTCACATGAAGTTAATTGGTAACTGTTTTATATATCTGCTTTTTATAAATATTTTCACAAGCCTATGAGTTTCATAACTATATTTAGCTTTTTGTGTGTGAGAATCTGTGTATTCTTGTTAATTAGCTCATTAGAAAATATGCTAGTTAAAATACGTTACACATTTAATTCGAAGGATTTTTCGTTGGAGAAAATCTTAGATATATTTTTAACTAATTATGTTATGGGAGGTGAAATGGGTGATTGCATACCTCTGCGAAGTAGATGGGCTCTATATTGTCTTTAACGTGTTCGATGTATTGTATGTCCCTAATTCGTTGTAGAGACACTGTCAAAACTACCGTTGGTTAATATTAGTCTTGTATCTGTTAACTGTCTTATACAGTTTATCATATCCCAGACATGACATCCTCTGTCTTGGCATAAAGTGGTTTGATATAGGATTACATATACAATACTATACTTCACTTGAGCTTGTTAATAAATTATTACAAATATATGTTGCCATTCCGTCCACTGACTTATGGAGTCGATACTAATCTTAGGATTTAAACAATCGAAACAGATCTAAAAGATTTAATTCTTGCAGGGATTCATTTTATGGCTAGCGGTGAGTGGACACAAGTGTCAGCGACCGGCCATTAAAGCAGCACTGCTAGATTGTAAAGCCAGCGACTTGTGTACGAGGTTGGAAAACTGGTCGGGGAGACGGGTGGGATGGCTCTTTACACTGACCAGTATTGTAACTTAATGATATCAGCAATATATATCTAGGCGGGCGATGAGTCACAATAACGTGGCTAAAGTATGTTGACAAGACCACACACCAGAAGGTGAAGGGACGACGACGTTTCGGTCCGTCCTGGACCATTCTCAAGTCGATTGTGAATGGACAATCGACTTGAGAATGGTCCAGGACGGACCGAAACGTCGTCGTCCCTTCACTTTCTAGTGTGCGGTCTGGTCAATATATCTAGGCGCTCGTGGTCAATGGTGTGTTAGAAGTAGGCCTATGAAGAAAATGTAAAGTGAGCCGTTTCTAAGTAAACTCGTCTATTAATTTAATAGAGAACTTGTCTGTTTTGGGTATTAAACTGTTAGTTGTGTGTTTCATCACTTGTTTGTACAGTAGCTTATATGTAATTGATATTTACATACTGGGTCGTATAAAGTTGTTTCAAGGCACTGTATCCTACAAACCCCCAAACCAAATTGGTTATATAATAATAACTAGTTTAATTAAAATTAGATATTGTACTATGGAGCTAACAGTCTAAATTATTGCCGTTTATTATCTTCTGTTTTGTACAGTTTCGGTTCTAACAGAATTCTAGTGGTTATGGAACTCTCATGCCAAAAGGCTGGCTTTCTTTTAATGTGGTAGAGGCTCAGGATTAGCTTAATCTTGCCATTCAAACGTAGTTGGCACGTTGTGTCAAGGCAGGCATTAACACCTCAGGGTTCTGAGGTAGCGTAATCTTGTTTATTGTCTGAGCTTGTATGTGTGTACCGTTCCCACACACATGACATGGCGCTACGCTTAGATGGCTTTACCACAGTAGCTGGACATAGAATTTCCTCTCACAAAAAGATCTCTTCCAACATGAGCCAGCATTGTGCTTATAGAACGAAAAGACTTTAAAAGTGGATTCTCTCAAGATTAAAAGCTTCTCGAGACCATCTAATTTTTTTTGTTAAATTTAGTTGTGATTTTTTTTCTAGTCGAGATAAAGTATGTTGAATTTGTCCGAACAGATCAAAGGTTGGAAAGAGGCGAAGATAGAGCTCAGAGTGACTCATTAGGTCAGACCAGTCAAAACAAAAGACGCGGATTACGCTGAAAGTTAGTTTCATGCTTCACTTGTTTTAGAGGGCGACTGCGTTCTTTGTTATGGTTAATTAAAGACCAAAGGGTAGGATGACCATAAAAAACTCACTACAACAACATTTAATACCAGACAACTCAACCCCACACATGTGAAAATAAAGGAAGTGAATACGCTTTGATACGTCCTGGACCATTATCGAGTTATTGCGACACACTGTCTTTATTTAATACCACTTCTGTATATAGTGGTACAGCAATATACCTGCAGATGGTTCTGGGTATCGATGCCCTCGCATCCCTGTCTCTGACCGGGCCTCCATCTCCAAAGGATACCTGATCAACCAGGCTGTGTGTGATTCATACGTCAGGCTTCGAGCAGCCGCGTCCAACAGCCTGATTGACCAGTCTAGCAACCTGGCTGACCAGTCCAGCAACCAGGAGGCCTGGTCGAGGACCGGGCCACTTCATTGGGTATACAACTTTGTATTCAAGGGACAGAAAGCCCGTTTTGATCTGCGTTTTGAAGGTAAATCAGAGTTGCTGTTTTGATCATCGACGTTCCCTTATGGTCAAAGACTGACCTTCATTAGGATATGCAACCTACAGCTGTCACCTATCTTTCGGGTACCTATTTACAGTTAAATTGAACCATGCACCATATCGTCCTCAGTCTATGTTCATTCCACCTAGCGCTCGACCTGGATGGAAACTGTCGTGCTAAAATCCCTTATCCTACACTACCAGAGAA